TTTCTGTAACATTCATGAGATTACCTGTCATGGTTCATTTTCTCCTTCACTTTTAAATGTAACATATGGATAGTAAAAAAGAATTTCTTATTATTGCAAACTTGAAATCTTTTGTTGACATCTACATTTCATTCACCATGCCCTACCCACGACTGAAGTACCTTGCTTCCCTACCAAAATCAAAATTGGTGTTTGAATATTTTACTTGCCTTCTTTTCAGCAGTACAGCCTGTGAAGTGGCTAGAGCTGTAGTTACATTTTGAAGTTCCTCTCAAATTTTTGTTCTGTGTTCTATATATCAATATCTCCAAGAAACTGAGTTTCTGAAATTGTACAAATTTCAAAAATGTGGATTATGAGCTTTATCTAAATGACTTGTAGAGCATTTGAATGGCTTGTTTTAATGTCAGTTTTGAGGCAAGATGAGTATTATTTTGTGAAGTTTAATTTCAGTTAAACGTATAAGTGATCTAGAAAAAAATCCTAAGAAAATGTATGGGGAGCTAAATTGAAAAGTAAGTATATCTTAATGATTACAGTAAAAAAGATGGTATTTATTAGGCTCTTGACAATAAGGATGGGGGAAAAGGTTCATAAATGTGAAGATTTTTCACACCTTGTATAGTTAAGTTAGTAGGAAAAAAAATAAGTAGGATGATGATATATAGTGGTAAAGAGTAAGTTTATGGGCCACTATAAACAACAGTCATAAATCATTTCTGTTAGTGTTTGAAGAATTTTAATTTGTGTGGGTTTAAAACTTCTTATATTACAAAGTAGAAAATACTTCCAAGGACATCATTTATATCAACTAAAAATTTTAAAATATCAATAGTAAAGTATCAGAAAATATCCCTATTAGGAAGTACACACTGAACTATTTAGGGTGAAAGAAGAATAATGTATGTACTTCTCTCAGTTGGTTCACAAAAAATACAGATAGTTTGTGCATCCAAGTGAGACAATGAGTAAAATATTTCAGCAAATTTAGATAAAAGATACACAGATGTTCCTTGTCCTGTCTATAGTTTTGTACCCTGTGTAAATTTAAACTTATTTCCAAATAAAAGGTCTTTTTAAAAAGGTAGCTAGAATTAAAGAGGGTTACATATGGCAAGTATTTTTGGAGGTTAATGGGCAGAACCTGGTATGAGGACCCTGCATGTTGACCTTATAATACACATACTCTCAGGTAATGTTTGTTTTTAGTATTATAGAATTGTTTCACTATTGTAGACATTCTGAGAACTTTGAGCCAGAAACTTGGCAAAATGCATGTTTGTAGCGAAATCAGTGATTGTCTTTTCTTACATTTGTACATAGATATCTTTGTAATTGCTCTTTGTGAATTAAAGATGAATGGATTCTGTAATTAGGTTCATGAGCAGCTTTCTATTGTGTTTGAGTGTCATTCCCACTGCATTTTAGGGAATGTGAAGTATTCTGTAAGAACCATCCTGCCCCGTTCTCAAAAGTCATTACTTTCCACAAAAAGGAGCCATTTGAACTAGAAGCATTTTATACTGACTTATTTGAAGTGCCTTATCCTGATCCAAGAATTGGTAAGAAAACTCAAGAAAAAATTTTTCCATAATTTTTTGGCCTTTTATGAATAATATATAGAATCAAGGAAACAGTGACATTTCAGCTAAACTAGCCCTGGATTTTCTAAGAAAGAGTGTGCTCATTTTATTTCTAGAATAAGTGCACATAATTTGAGTATTCTTAATTCATTTTGACTTCTATACTTAAAATGCTCTACAATTGACCTAAAAAGTTTGTGAGTATATTTTTGATAGGAAACTCAAGTCAAATTGTACTACCATACTAACTTCTAATTTTGAAATTTGTTCACAGGCAACAGCTATAATAAGTATTCTTGGATTAATCTGAAAGTGAGAACAGGAGACTATAATACCCATTTAACTGAGTAATCATTTCAGAACCTGTAAAACAAAATACGATTTTATAGCATTTAAAGAGAAGCAGTTTTTAAATTTTAAAATTGTCTATATACTGATAGATTAAAAAGGAGACTAAAGGGCCAGAGATTTAGCTCAGTGGTTTTGCCGCCTGCTGCGCAAGCGCAAGGACCAGAGTTCGATCCCCGGTACCAAAAAAACCCAAAAAAACAAAAGAGACTAAATATTTTCAAGTACATTATTTAAAGCAGAAGTTATTGAAAGTTATTTTAGTTCACTAAGATTGCTGTTAATCAAACAGTAAACATAGAGTCTGCCAAAAAAAATGTATACACACTTAAGTAGTTCACCATACTAATAAATGTCTGGAAGCTAATGGCTGCCACTTTGAGCACCTCTTGTAATTGTAGAGGGCAAAGGTAACCTATATTAATCTCATGATTTCTCAATAAATTTAGTATTAAAATATTTATAAAGTTTTTCTTTTCCTATGTATACTTTTTTTTGCAGACTCTGTATTGTCTCAGTTATGGAAGCTAGAATTCTGAAATGAAGGTTATCAGCAAGTGTGGTTTCTTCTGAGGGCTATAAAGGAAGGATCCATTCCAGTTCACTCTCCTTGGTTTCTAGATGCCCATCTTCATGTTTTCATGACATTCTCTCACATTTGTATATGTCTCTCTTCAAATTTCTCTTTTATAAGGACACCAGTCATACTGAATTAGGGCCCACCCTAATGATCTCATTTCAATTTAGTTACCTCTTTGAAGATTCTATCTTCATAAACACTCACATCCTGAGTTACTGGGTGGTTAGAACTTCAACATATGAATGTTGGGATGTTGGGCTACAACTCAAAAAAGGTCAGCCAAATTTTTTACTACCCAATTTCTTTGTGTGGTAGTCTCTCTTTTTAATTTTTCTTAGGAATCCAAAAATGTTTTTTAGTTTATTTATGCATTACCAGGATGATTATAATTTGTAAATTTAACACCAAAAAGGTAATGCATATTCTGTTCTCAAGTTCAGGAATTGAATTTTATTATTTTGGTTTTAGAGTAGCATCATACACCAACTGTTTTTTTCATAGCATTGATGATTTAGGGCAAGTTACTTGACCTTTTTGAGTGTTAATAACAGGTTTGTTTGAGATACCCTGGAAAAAGTGCATGCCCCATAGTAATTTTAATCAGGATCTGATCACAATTTTGCATTTATTTGCCATCATATTTAGATGACAATCCAAATTATTGAATAAAAATTGATACTGATCAAAGCTCTTTTTCCTTAAGGGATCTTTACTATTCAGAATGTTTTCCCACAATCTGATGGTGATAATTCCAAAGTAAAAGTAAAAGTTCGTGTTAACGTCCATGGAATCTTCAGTGTGGCTAGTGCATCAGTAATTGAGAAGCAAAATTTGGAAGGGGATTATAGTGATGCTTCTATGGAAACAGAAACTTCATTTAAGAGTGAAAACAAAGATGATGTGGTATGTAGAAATCCTATCACAAGGCTCCTATGACTATGTATATAGCATTTTAATCATAACTGGTACTTTTATTAGTTGAATATGTTAATTTCTGAGGTTTTGCTTTGAATTTCTGCTGTATGATCAGTGTGGACTTTATTAAAGAATAATTCTATTTAAATACTCTTCATGTTTCACACTGTATTATACTTTTTGGGGGCTTATGTGACTTAGCATTATGGAGTATGTGAGTTTGAAATCATCTTAAGTTCTTTGTTTCCGTTAAAGCAGTGTATTTTATTAGTGCTTGATTTTTAGCCTATAGCTAAAACCAGTTCAGATTAAATTTTGAACTATACACACATTTATTTCCTGTACACACACATATTTTTAAACTGAAAATACATGTGCATGATTTAATCCCTCCTGCCCCCGCCCCAGGGTTTAGTTAGGGAATGTCTGTGACAGTTCAACAGAAGAGTTCTGTATATTCTGTAACAAGCAAATGTAGACTTTATACTTTTTCTTTATATAAGTTATGTGATACCAAGTTTACTTTGGGCATAGGAATGTTATGGGAACCTGATTATATTTCATTGCATAAAATTTATATGTGTTTTCATCATTTTTGTGTGTACTTTGTATTGTTAATGGCATTTGATAAATTTTTTTTCCAGTCCCAATTTGGAAATCTGCCCTAGACTTTTCATCTATTTGTGCATATTAAGAATGGGTTTTCAGCCTAAGGATATAGCTCAGTGGTAGAGTGCTTACCTAGTGTGCTCAAGGCCCTTGGTTTAACCTCCACTACAGAAAAAAAAATAAGTTTTCAAGCCAAGCACTGTGGCATGTGCCTGTGTGGTCTCAGATACTTGAGAGTCTGCTGTGGAAGATCACTTACACCTGCTAATCCAAGACTACCCCGGGCAATATGGTGAAACCTATGTCGAAAAATATCGGGGGAATATGATTTCTCTGTTCTTTGAAGGGTGTCTTTTTGTTTTTAATAAGTACTGTATAATCTTTTCTTTTAACTAATCAAAATTGAAGCACTAGCCTATAATGCACTTCATTTAAAAGATCATGGCATCTTTTCCATGCTTCCCATGTATCATCACGTCATTCTTTACTTGAATTGAGGAAGAGGAAAGTCCCAATCTGTTAGTGAAATAGTCAGTTTTTCATAAATTAACATGCAGATGATTAATGAAAAGTTACTTTTTAAAATTACAATTCACAGTAGCTTGCCGGGCATGATAGCGCATGTCTCTAATCCCAGGACTTTGGGAGGCTGAGACGGGATTGCCATGAGTCCAAGGCCAGCCTGCATTGCAAGTGTGACCCAGTCTCAAAAAAACAAACAAAAAATCATAATTCACAGTAATGTATGTCAGACATGTAAATTTAATCCATTAATATTTATTTTTACTATATTTGAAAGTACTCTATGCCTTTGAGGACCAGTTATTTGTAACCATTTCACTTTCTTCACCTTTTTATTTTTAAGTATTTCTTCTAACTCTAATTTTGTCTATATAATGTTAGTGAACCCCTGGGAACAGGAAGTAAAGTAAGAATACTATGGTACCCACTAGTGTAACACCTACCTCCTGTTGCCCTTAAAATTTCTTACTTGCTGCTTCTGTTAGTCGGTGGACTGGAAATCCAGTTAACCAGTATTTTAGGATAATTTCTGGATGTGAACCTAAAAAGACTTGCCTGTGAATAAAATACATGGATTAGTAAAGCAGTCACTCAGATACTTGTTTTGGGCTAGTGTTTTGGGATGAAGTGTTTCGGGTTGTCTAGAACATTTCCAGGTAGTTAAGGTTTTCATATAAGAATTTCCAGATAGAGGACCGGGGATTTAGTTCATTGGTGCCACCGCCTGCCTCAAAAGTGGAAGGTCCTGAGCTTGGTCCCCCCGCCAAAAAAAAAGAATTTCCAGATAAGATATTTCTGCATACTCCTATAATTTTATATAATCAAGGAAAAAAGGTAAATAATATTATAGACCATATACTTAGCATTTGTGGTGAGTACATTCACACATATATTATTTTAAATCTCTACTATAGCTGATAGAATAGGTGCTGGATAAGTTGTTGTTTATTTCCTTATCATTTCTAATATAAGAGCTAATATTAACACCTTGTGTAGAAAATATCCTGTGTACTTTATTTCTTAATGGGTTCTCTGTTGGATTTTTCTCTTTAATTCTGTATCCAAAGGTTTAAAAAAGGCTTAAGGCTTAAAGATCATTTTCTTTTTTCTCCCAAGCATGAACTAGTTCAGAATAGACTATGGAAACTTTACATTTTAGAGGGGAAAATAAGAAGGTAATAAGTTGTTAATACTCCCCTTACTCTAAACATTGCTGGCTCTGACGTAGTAACAGCCTTTTTCCCATGAGAGTCAATTTACAATTTTTTTTATTTAAAAAACTACTTTGTTTTTTCATTAAAAAGTAAGATAGCTTAGATTTTCCTGAAAAAATATGTCTACCTTTTAGTATAAGAACATCTCAAAAAATTGACACCTTTCCTATTGGTGTATATTAATATTTGGGCATATTAAGAAGTTATCACATCTTAGACTGTGTGACACCAGAAACCAAGGAAAGCATTCTGTTCATCATGCTAATATGCCACTACTTTAACTGTTTCCTAATTACTGACCATTTGAGGGTTTTTATGTTTTTGTTTTTTGGTTTTGTACCAGGGATCGAACTCAGCACCTTGCGCTTGCAAGGCAGGCACAGTGTCGCTGAGCTAAATCCCCGGCCCATATTTAAGATTTTTATCTTTTTATCTACTTTTTAATTCAGAACACTTGATTATTTATGTGTAGTAAGGACTCTTCTAGGCATTTCAAATACAGTAATAAACAAGATAGAATAGGTCCTTATACATCTGTAACAAATCCTAGTGGAAAAGGCCAGGCAAGAAAGTAACAAAATAACATATAAAGAAAATGAATGGGGATGTGCAATGGGAATTATCTGTTATAGTGACGAGGAAAGCCATGTAGGAAGGAACAGGGTAAGATAGCCTGAAAGACCAAAAACGCATTTTGAGGATAAGGAGGAGATACTTAGTTGTCCAGGCAGAACAAATAACAAGCACAAAGAAAGACCAGGAGACAGGAAGCCCTTTATTCTTGTAACAGAACAGTAGCTGGTGTTAGTGAAGGGGACACTTAGCAAGAAAAAAATGAAATTGAAAAGGTAGATCATGGAACAAATCAATTAAAGCCTTATACTGTAGTTCACAATAATGATTCTGGATCTTATTCTCAAGTGCTTTTTATTTATTCAGCAAATAATGATGAGCACCTAAAATGTGTGGTTGGATATGGCAGGGAGTTGAAAGATAGTTTCAACTCTCCCATGTTTAAAATTAGAGAAGCCAGAGTCTGTAGTCTCTTCTATTAATTTCACCACTATTGTTAATGCCTTATTAAGATGATTTTTAAAAATTATTAACAAATTATTACATACACATTTATATATATATATGTATAAATTATAAAATTGCAATTATCTACTTTTAAATATATACAAAATTGGAGCTGGGAATGGTGGTGCATACCTGTAATCCAGCATTCTGCAGGCTGAGGTAGTAGGATATGAATTGAGGGCCACATAGCATAGTGAGACCCTCTCTCAAAAAAATAGAATAATAAATCAAATCAGGATGGGTTAATTACTGCAAATGATAACATTTTATATTCAGCCATGGCAGTAAACATAACAGTTCTCAGAACCAGTACATATGTGACCTAGGTTGTTATTCCTAGTAGCACAGGTAGGCAGTTGCAACTACATCATCCTACAGATCATTTCAAGGCATGACTAGCCAGTTGGAATGGTCATACTATGAACTGTTTCAAGGAAGGAATACAAATCCTGATTGCTGCCTGAAAACAATCTACTGATTTTCTTCTGGTAAGATAAAACACAATTTTAAACTTGCAGAATAAGTGGCAATAGCGTGTAAGACAATATGAGACCAATTTTTTAAACAAATGCTGGCTCACAAATCCTCTTGCTGGCACTGAGGTTAATACAGGATACAAAAAGACATTACCAACTACATTAAGTGGTACAGAACAGTTAGATTCTAAATGTAAAAAGGTTATAGAAATACCTTAACTATTTGGGTTTTTTTTGTACATAACAAAAACATACAAATATATAAACAATAGAAAAGTTCTTTGAATAAATGCAAAATGAAAATTGTAAACGATTAAGCATTGTGACCATTTGACAGCATTTTTCTTTAGTAATACATAAGAGTTTGGGCTGGGGATTTAGCTCAGTGGTTTCACTGCCTGCTGCGCAAGTGCAAAGACCCAAGTTCGATCCCCGGTACCAAAAAAAAAAAGAGTTAATACACAACCCCAACTCATTATCACTTGTTTTTTTTAACTTCTTGTCCATTAACAGGGTTTGGGGAGGTAGAAGAGTTGGAAGGAAGAAGCTAGAATATCAGAAATAATTGTTTTAACTACAAAAAATTATCCTCTAATTTATTTTTCTCTTTGGCACAAATGAACATGTACTAAAGATAGGTTTTAGGTATTACATATTTACTTAATTCTAGTTATAACTGAAGATGAATAATATAATTTATTTCGATTCCTGTATTTAGGCTTTCTTTTTTTAAAGAGAATAGCAGTGAATAGGATTAAAAAGAGTACAAAAAATGTGTTACTAAAGATGGTTTGCCAAATGGATAGTCAATTTGGGGATTTTTATTGGTTAAAAGTTTCTTTTTTAGATATAAAAAACCTTAAAGGTTTACCTCAGAAACTACTCTGCCAGTTTTGTTGAATTTCCTTCAGTATTTTATTCCATTTAAAAATATATAATTGAATTGTTCAAAACAAATTTTTTCTCTTAAATTTATTTTCCAATGTTAAGTTCTTTATAAGCATTTTTTATATCAACTTGAACAGGTGTTTTATAAAACAGCTTGCTTTTATAAATCTTGATTTGTAAGTTTGAGGACAGCTTTCTGTATTTTGTAATTATTCGGTCACGAGGCAATGAAACAAGGTTTATTCGCACAACATCATATAGATCTTTTTATTTTCCTTACCTGTTAATCTGTTTGTTGTTGTTAGTCTCATTGGAAAAATAAGCCTCTATTGTGTTCATATATCTCAAAACAGGCTTAAATTCTAAGATGCAGTTTAATTTTTTTAAAAAGAGAGATGACATATATTAGCAGTTACATATTTTCTTGCTAGGATAAAATGCAGGTTGACCAAGAAGAAGGAGGCCATCAAAAATGTCATGCTGAACATACCCCAGAAGAGGAAATTGATCATACAGGAGCCAAAACAAAGGTTTGGTTTACTTTTTCTGTAATTGGGTCTTGCAAGATTGGTATCTTTAATTGATATATTTGCTCTGTAACACTTGTTCTTAATATACTTGATATATTAATTGATAATGTGAAATAAGAAGAAATGGTCCAAAGGGTAGGGGAAGTGGGAGGGGCAGGGGAAAGGAAAGAAGAGAAAGGAAAACTTATGAGAAATGGAAAAAAAGAAAACAAAGTCTTTGTAAATAGGGAAGGGTGGGGGGGGTGAAGGGAGGGCAGGGAATGGGGAAAAATTAAGTGAAACATATCATGTAAAGGTACAAGTTCTCAATGAGAAATGTAAATATATTGTATACCTAAAATGTACCAATAAAAGAATTTAAGGAAAAAAATACTTGATATTTTCAGTCTTAATATTGTAGAAAAGTACAGAAATCTCTATAGCTAGAATAAATACATTTCAGTGTTTTAGTACACAGGTTTGTAAGCAGTAAACCTTCATAGGACAAATAAAGTTGGGGTTTTTTTGATAGGGAAAAAATACTTTCCAATAACTTTTTTTCTAATTAAAATCATAAACCTCCAAGAAAATATGCAATGGAACAAGCCAATTGAAGGAAAATTAAATTTGCAATGCCCTCCTGTATCACAGAATTAACCCCTCCTTAACATTTTCCTGAATATCATATTTTTCTTTGTGCAAAAGTATTTTAAAATACAAAAATTTAAATGATAACTGACTTTATTATTGAGAATAATTATAATACTGAGATAATCACTACCAGTTAAAGAGGAGACAGCCAATGTGGTAACACATGCCTGTACATAATCCCAGCCCTCCTGGAGTCTAAGACAGGAGACTTACAAGTTCAAGCCCAGCCTGGGCAAAATTTAGTAACTCTCTCAAAATAAAAATGGGCTGGAAATGTAGCTTAGTGTAGAGGTTCTGAGTGAACTCAGTACTACAGGAAATAAATGAGACACCCTGCCCCAGTCACTCAGATAAGTGTAGCTAGAGATTTAAGCCATCATCTTCAGCAGATTTTTCTAAGATGCACAGAGTACATTCTGTACAGGTTAGCTGTATGGATTTTTTTCACAGGTTTCAAATCCTAGGCTCTAAAATTATTATTTTTTTTATTTGTTTTTTAGCAAACTATTTATTGGTACATTTTAGATTTACATAATGATAACATTCATCATAGGGAATTTGTACCAGTACATGTTGTATCTTGCTTGTTCTAAAATTATTTTTAACCTGAAACTTGTTTCTGTAAAATTTGCATTTTGCCCAATTTTTTTTGCTTTTATTCAATTTTTGTTTTAATACCTTGAGAAACAGTTTACATATTATAGAATTTACCCATTTAAATGTAGAATTCAATGAGT